TATTTTACACGTGATCTACTATATGTAATACAATATATTCCATTCCGGATTTTATTTAGATCATGCAATGCAAACAAATTTCATTTTGTTAATGGTATATCCCTTGAAAGCCGCTGCCTTTTGAGAACTTGTACGCGAATAGAAGTTTAAGTGACATAAAGCCTCCAAAAGATGCTGCAGTGAAATGAAACTAAGATGCTCTCAAAGTCAGGAAACTGCCACATTCTACCATATTTAAACTCTGCTAGATCCAGAAAACTGTCATCCGCATTTGCCGACGAGGATTAATTCACTGAGAAGTTTGAGCGAAATCAAAACTTAGTTCTCAGTTATGAGATTTTGGAAGACCTAGAAAACTACTTTCAGAGTGGATCCGTCATAATGATGCCTAAAGGCAATGCACTGTAAACTCAGCTTTACTCTTGTTATATTGAAAGAAAATGATATGAAACATCACAAAAATGAGGTCAATTTTGCGTTTAATGGAGAATGCTTTAAACTGCATTTCAAACTGAGTCAGCGAGATTTTTATAATGATGCCATGGTGCAGCACCATGTATCAGAAAAAAAAAATGAATACAGGCCGCATGCAGAATATTCAATTATTATTTTTAACATTATATGATACAGTAACGTTAAAATAAATCTAAATGAAAGTAAAGATTTTTTTAATAAGAAACATAAGCAGTCCACTGTCGGCCGAGTGGAAAAGTCGCTGAACACTGGTAGTTTGACCTGGGTTCGATTCCAGGCAAACCGGCTGGCTACATGGGCGTTTTATTGATTTTCCTCATGTGTAACGTGTATAAGCCAGTTTCCCTTAGAAAGTCCTCCACGAAGGAATCCTGTCCCTTAAACAGTTAGCTCTAGTGTGCTTTTCCGTTATCTTAGTAAACCAAACCAAACCACAAATCAGTGCTCTAAACACGAAGCTCACTTTGGAAATAGGAATGCTTATTTCGGAACTTAGCAAATTCTGTCTGTGTATTTATTAAGCTAATCAAGGAGATTAATCCCTACTAAATTCTTGAACTACAAATCTTAGAGCAATTAGCCTAAATAATAATAGTTATTTTAAAGTAAAAATGCTTAATTTTTTTTACTTGTTCAGAGAAAATATATAAGACGAATAAATCACTTTAAAAATTGAAAAACACTTTTACACCTGACTTTGTATATGACAATATATTGCGAAGAATTTCTGCTATTAAAACTCAGGTAGATTTACTTAAGCATCCTACGAATTAACCGTGCTATCTGTAAATTACTAAACGCGATTTGATATATTGATAGGTTATATGGCGAATAGTTTTAATCGGAAATTACCTGCAACGTCCCATAAATAACGCAGTTTTTTTTTTCTTACACTGACTGTGAGAACAAATTAACAGTTTTAGGGTTTAAATATCTATGGAAACGAACCTAAACTGTGTCCGTACTCTAAGCAACACATGTCGGGCAACGAATGGAAATTTGTATTTTTCACCTCTCAAAGTTAGAAAAAATCCGTTTCTCAATCTATTAGTCACCAGTGATGAAAAGCTAATCTAAACTTGCAAGAACGTTAAACGTAAATTACTATGAGATGACGAAAGTAAGACTCTATCTGTTACCGAAAGGAAGCAATAATCTAAAGAAGAAAATCACAAATATTTTGGTGAAATATGGAAGAAATTTCCTATTATTTAAGCACTTACCTGAAAACTAAACCATCAATAAAAAATTGTATTATAAAGATATAAGGTATGTCTCGCCTTACTAGCGTGCCTTCGTGGTGTAGTGGTTCTGCAAGCTGGGCCGGTATTCCATAGGTCCATGGTTCGATTCCCGGCGAAGGCGTTTGCTCATTTTTCATCTTGCCTGCTTCAAAAAATACGTAATGTCTCTACAAAAATCTGATGATTCGTCATAATATTCGTCGACCTCCTACGGCACACGAAATGGTGCAAAATATATAAGACAATTCGAATAGAAAATGGTGATTTACATACTATATTTTTCTGATAAGGCCTCATAAGTATATCTTCATGTTTTCAGGCCTTTAAAATCTCGATGGAATTCTTTTAATTCGAAAAATTATGCGAATTCACTCTTCAAATTATGCGAATCAATGTACATGCGTTTCTAATCCAGAGCGTAAAAAATTTAGATTTATGATGAAAATAAAGATATCATAAATATATCTTACATTAAACATGAACGCATTTCTTTCCTCGCAGAGTTTTTCTAAAACACGAGCATCAATCTAAGACATAATTTTGCCTGATTTTGAATATTCAACATTTCTGTTTTAATTAGCAATGGAAACGATCTCTCAAAACTACGTAACAAATGTTAAAAATATGATTTCTTATAATAAGAGGTTTGTAACCGGCGTAGAAAGAGAGGAAAAGTTAACGATGAAAAAATATTCCTAATGTTATAGAATTATTATGATAGTGAAGTATTTAAAATATTTTATGTCGAAAATATTCATATATATTGTGTATTGTACTAAATAATATTTGAAATTTCGTCAGATATTACACATCTAAAAAATAGTATCATAAAATAGATTAAACTGTTACTGAATCCACATAAATCCAATCGTGAGAGCGTTGTGTATTTTCTAACCATAGCAACAAGTAAATGTATTACGTATACGTTTCCAAGCACAGACATTAGCACTGTGTAGTCATAAATCTGTAAAGGTCCAATTTCTGTAAAGGTTGAAAATTACAAGTAAAAACAAAACTGATTTTCATGAAGACATAATCAATGATTTACTGTGAAGCTATTGATTAATGATGGTGCATCATCATCTGCTTTGAAAAAATACTGCTTAATTCTACGCATTCAGTGCTTTCAATTTTCAGAGTAACTGTGAAATATATACTACACCGACGTCCAAGGATTGTACCCTTACAATAAGATACTGCTTTGATCTATTTAACCTAGAATCTTTTCAACCTATGAAAGTCAAAATTTGAAGTTCCTTACTCAGTCTTAAATCTTAATTTAATGGATATATAATTTCAATAAGAATTTCGAAAAGAGAAAATTTTTAAAAGCTTTTAAACTATTGAGCGTAAAATTAATCCGTCAAGAATATAGATTTTTACGAAGCAAAACTCATTTGAATACATAACACATTTGAAATGAACATTTAAACTATTATTCTTTTCGATGCTGATGAAAATAAATGCTTTTCGTCTCTGTAATACAAAAGTTTCATTCTGTCGCTCTTCTATCAACTGTGCTGCTAATATTTGATTTACAAATAGTTCACTGTTTGACTCTAAATTTATCTTTCACTCTACCTCTCCAGCTAGCTACGCATACACGAGAAGACTGAAAAATTCCCTGCACATGTTTTAAAGATACACAAGAACTAATTATGCAAATAGTATAAAACCATATTTCTGCGAATGTAATCCGAACTTGTAAAAGGTAAACGGTAAAGGAGAAATAAAGAACAAAAAAGAACATGTTACATCTTCTTTATTGACCATATACTAAAAGTGTGACGGTAGTTTTATAAAAAGGTGTCGGAAGCTCCTTCTATTAGTAAGAATGCATATTTCATCAACGTCGAGCATGGATCATGTGTAACATGTGTGAGCATGCCCAAAAATGCCAGGCTATTTCAAATACATTAATGGTCTTTCGTCTCTATCAGTGTCAAACTCAAGTGGAGTCTTTTAAACAATGACTCAACGTTTACCTCAGGCGCAAAATTCATTAGTTGTCATGGCTTACCATAAAAGAAGATCCTAAACCTAGAGCAATATCGGCTGATCAAAGTAGACAAGGAAAGAATACCACCAGCCAAATTATGACGCCGAATGTGTTTAGATGTTCTAGCATTTTGATTTAATTTGAAATAGCATGAGGGAAAGAGACGTATTTCCTATAAATATTTCATCCCGATTCCTTGCAATTCATCCATCGTTTCCAAAAATATTAGAAATGTACTATTTTCTTACTTACCTTGCACTTAACTTTGTTAGTAAAGAAATCTTAAGAGCGAACTTCAAGCATTTTTAGCTCAAAAATATAATCTGTTCTTCTCAGTTAATAGTTATTCCACAAAATGGTTACTTAAAATTGGGTGTTTATTTTATATGTTTAGATTATTTTTAAATCTGCGAGTACGTATCTTACATAAATCCTGAGATATTAATTTTTTTCCTGATAAATTGAAAAAAAAGGCCTTAATTAAGATCGTTTTTCATTCTAGATTATATTACCGCCAAAATGCTATACGTGAATGCAGAATGTATTGTTTTAATCTGGAAAAAATATTTATTTTGCTTTACCTCTCTTATATATAGGATTAAATACATTCATCTGATGGAATATCTACATTAAATGGCAAGTTCAAGCTCATTTTGTTACACAGTGTATAGACTCATTTCAAAATATTCTTATATTTAAAAGAATTAAGAAAGCTTAGTTTATAATTTTAACACCATTGAAGAAAACATAGAAAATTTTTAAAATGTGTTCTATTTTGCTACTGTAAGCATCTTTATTTTAGGAATGAAAATAATTTTCTGTAATGATAAACTATTATCATTACAATACATACATCATACAATGATATACTATTATCAATAGTATATATGTAATGATATACTATTGATATACTATTATCATTAAAATTCTATACTGATATATATAAATGCATTTATATATATGTATGTATATTTATATAGATGTTATGAATTTATATAAATGGACTTTTCCACTAAACATCAGAAAGAACTATATGTTTTATATTGGCAGCATTTTAAAGAAATATATGAGAAATAAGTTCCACTACTAATTAAAAAGGGATGCCGGTTCACGTGTACAGAAATCATATAAACTCAATTTTTGTAGCATGAAAATAAAAGTCTTTTAATTAGAAACAAATAAATGTTTTTATGCAAATTAAGAATCTAATTATATAATTTATGTATAGTACGTGCAAGGTATATATAGTCATTGTAAATACTCATAAAATAATACTTTTTCAGCTCCTCCAAAATTTAAAGAACCATATCAAACCAAGACAGTGACAGAAGAATCAAATACGACTTTAAGATGCATTGCAACTGGGCATGGTCCAATAGTTATCACTTGGCAAAAGGATAAATCTTTAATTGACATAAACAAACGTGGAAGGTAAGGAATTCCTGAAATATAACTTAAAAAATATGCAAGTATTTTGCTCTGTTCTTCGGAGAATTTGCTGAGCGAATATATTTAATTATGGCGTAAACGTTGAAGAAAATTTGTGTAATGGGAAATGTTATATGTAAATACGATTTCACCATTTATTAATTTTGCGATCTTTTTTTTCAGCCTTCACTATATTATAAGTTGAACACGTCAAAAACGTGTAAGTTGAGAAACGCATAATTATTAAAAATTCAATAATATAATTATCAGTGCGTGTTGAATAAAAAAATAAAACAGTGGTTGTAAAAATTCATCTTCAGAAGTACATGGCAATTATTTTAGAAGGATGTTATCAGAGAAAAATATTCAACACGCATGTAAATTTATTTCCGGATTTCATTCGCTTTATAAAAAGCGCAATCTTTTATGTGTTACTTGTGTCTCTTTCAACGTTATTTTTAAGTTTATCAAACGATAATGTGTTATAAAAGCGAAGAATGTAAAAACATCTCAAATCATTGAATTAAAAATGCTTTCTTTAGATCACAATACTTGTTCACATTTTTCAGTCCTTCTGCTTCTTAATCTCATTATTCGTTGGTAGAGAAACAGGTTTTTTGTTGTTAGCATAAGATTAACTCGCCGCTCTGGGCTAAAAATAATATGTGCTAATAAATTAAAAATATTCACTGTGATAGTAAATCAAGCAATAAGATTATTTTCATGTTCATAACCATATTTTAACAAGATTTTGAAAAACATATCTGAATAGTTGAAAAACAAATCTACCTCAAAGAATGTCATATTTTTTAATTAAGTTGATTAGTCTTCAAAAGAATTATTTAACGACTTATACATAAATTTTACCTATGCCTAAAGTCGAAAAAAGATTTGTCCAGTTATATATGTAAAATTTTAAATATCGTATAAAAACCTGCAAAAACAAGCTCACTGCAAATGAATAAAATTTAACTCTATCACACTGCAATTCACAATATATGCATAATAGGAAATAATATATTATCTCTATTCCGCTCCACCAAATTGGGACGGAGGAAATGAAATCGGCCAGCACGTACATGAGAAGGTGGATGAATTTTCAAAACAAATAGCTCAAATGCAAATAGGCTCATTTGCCACCAAATCTTGGCCGCACTCTTATCTAAAGAACAAATTGAAGAAAATAGCACTGGAGAGCTGGCAACAAGAATAGAACACTGCACAGAAGGGAGAAGAACACAAAATATCTTCTTAAACGTTTCAGTTTACAAGTTTCAACTTGTTTCTTACCCAGTATGTAGCAGGTCATGACCTCTGCCTTACATATTTCTTCGATTAGTTCATCGTCTAATATATGCATATGTAGGGAACGAGGAGACCCAGACCACTAGGTCTTCCAATGTTTAATGACTAAGGAACTGCATCTGGAATATCCTCAAAATACTGATTATAATTTTAAAAGACACCAGTCTTAATCAATAAATTCAGCAGCATTAAAACTCCAGCTTCAGCTGAAAAAAATCAGCACTATCATGACCAAACTAGCGAGTGAAGGTACGGACTTGCGTCAAGTAACACAAAAGCACATTAAACTGCTATTACTAATAGCATTGTTGACCTGCTACAGTAGTTCTAAAATTAAATATGGTTTTAGTACTGTATTTTATTTTGGTTCTTATTATTTACGGTAATTTTATATTATGATTTAGACAGTATTATATCGTATATTAAAAATATTTGTATTAGGGCAATATTTATAACTGCATTTAAAACTATGTTGTTTCAGAATTAAACATTGTGTACTGCCGTACAAGTAAGAACGAATTAGCTTGATCAGTGTACCAAGTAATATTGTAGTAAGGTGTATAGCTGAAGGTTCATTGTGGATAATTACTACCGCTGGGTGCTCAGAACTGTTAGCAGATAGAGGCATTGCCTGGCGGTGAATTAGAGATACACTGATGCATCTTCCACATTTGCCTCTACCTTTAACGATCACGCAGCGGCCCAGGCGGTATAATCATACTGTTTGCCATACCGATGGGCCCGAGATCATATCCCGAAGAAAATAAGGATGTTTGTTTAATGTCTACGCCGCAAGGTGTCTCTCAAACTACACGGAGAACAGTATTCCTCCCGAAAAGTTGGCGGTGGAAACTGAGAGAGATGGGAGACCTTCAAATCGTCCATGGTGTGGTCCCCTTCAAAAATTGGGGCATATATGCGTAGTGTGGTGGGACTATACGACCAATAATAAAATTCGGGTGTCCCGCCTTAATTCTACCTGTACTTGCCGATCACATGCTGGCGAATGATGAGGTGGGAGCAATCCCTCAATATCACGTCTGTGAATATAGAATTTTAGAATTTGGGAACAATGTCTTGTCTCAATGGAAAAAGGTATAGAGACATAATTCTGTTCAAATATTATAAATTAATTAAAGGGTTCTAAATATTTAAACAGAAGCTGCTTCTGTCAAGTTATGTTATGGATTTTCAAAGTTTTGATTTTAATACTATTGGATAGAACGTTTAGCGTTATGTAAGTGACTGCTGAAAGCCATTTTTAGGAATGATGCTCATCAGAAAGGCATATTGCCATGGCATAATTTTATATTCTATTATGCTTCCTTTATGAACATTTTTAACACTCAATCTAAATTTTCAGAAAACAGACGGAATTTAAATTTCTTTTATAAATACCAAATTATTTTTTGTTTTAGCTTTTATAAATAAGGTACGCCTTTCATATTTAATTTCGTAGATTCTTTTGATCCAACTTATTATTTTCTTTCTAAAAGTTTCTTTCGTAAGGAGGTGCTTTTTAAATGAAATTTTTAGCAACATTCTGTCAGAAATCTTCCATAAATTAATGGGTTCCTCCACTTCTTTTTTCCAGACATTAGTTTGGTTTTCATATCCTAATAATCAGTTCGATGCATAAATATAATTGTGAGTATAAATAATTATGCAGAACAGTTTCCTATCCTGTTATTGAATTTTTTTCTAAAAGTAAAAAAGGGGGAGGGGGAATAGATTTTTTTCAAGGTTTGAAATACCCTTTTTTATTTTAGCCAGAAAAAAAGAAATAACACTAACAAGAGCTGTCATGCATTTTATTTTAGGTGCGTTTGCAGGGATATGAAAAACGAAATAAATAAAAAATGTCCTGCCTTTACTAAATCAAATTCAGCGTGGAAATTAAAACTATGATATAAATAAACAAAAAAAAAGACATATGTAAATTCATTTACTTAATTGGATGCAAATCCATACGGAGAAGACTATTCTCAATGAAAGCAAACAGACTGCAATGCATGGTGGAAATGATCTGAAACCGTATTTTCTCTGTCGAAGTGCTAATCATTTGCATTCCGATTGAAGATAATGATACAGAAATATTTTGACGAGCCACGCTTTTACTCCGATCAGCTGTATATCTTTTAGTTAATGATGCGTAGGTGGAAGGCAAATGATTACACTTTGCATGATTGGGAAACCTAAGAAAAAATAAACAGATAAAGAATGTATTCTTTCTTATTCCCAGGAAAGAAAATGAAATTAAAATATATATTTTTTAATCAATTGTGTTCTTTTTTTCAAAAAATTTTTAATCCTCATATCTTATTATACATTATTTATAATTAAAAACCAAAAAATCATGTGAAATCCAAAAATTTTCCAGTGGAATTAGCCTAGCAGTTTTAGCTAGTCAGCATCTGCTTAGTTTAAGTTGCATGATAAGAATAAACTATTTTAAATTTCATATTTCTTCTTGTGTGACCGTCAGATTTAAAAAATATGCGTCATATTCATTATTATAATGAAGCTGAAACGATTTTTCATTTTGTGTTCTTAAACTGTATTTGATTAACTATAACATTCAACTAATTATAAATATGATAATCTTGAGTGGGAGACAGGATAAATAGAAGATTGCAGCACAGATCTAGAAAACAGCCGTTAAACGATGAGCTGCTTACCTGCGTCATAGTCACATATGGAGATTCTAATGCGTAGATTCACAAAAAAGAAATGAAGGAGACAACTATGAAGAAAAGTACACATTAATTTATTTATGAACATATTTGCAGTTCACATCATTCTCGGACGCCTGATGCAAACCACAATTTTACTATAATGGGAATTTTCATCCATCGTCACAAGGAAACGAAGTGGAGCCCGTTTGCCACCATCAATGAAAGAGAGAAAAAAAACTGCGCAGTTAGTAGTTGTGGTGTTTAAAGTAAAAATTTTCTTTAAACTTGTAAAGTTGCGCGCTTCCAGCCTGCACGCAACAAAGTGGTGACTGCTGAGAACTGGAAATAGACCAAAGTCTTGAGAAGGGTTTAAATCCCTTTTTATTCAACTTTAGAAATTACAAATGCGTGCTCTTGACGCTCACAAACTACGCCGACCCGGCGGTAAAATAAAAATAAGAAACTAAGAAAAGAATAGTAACAAGTGACTAACTACGAGGCTTTCTAAACGTAACTAACCTCACCGCGTTCTAAAATACCGCTGATAATTCAGCAAACTCTGAATATTACGTTGAAAGATTAACAATTTGCCGAGGCAAGCACACAGGCCGAAACGCGTGGTTCTTCAATTTCTAACTAGCCACCTCCACACTCGTGAAGCAAGAAAAGCACCCTTTCGAACTCGTTTCCTTTCTATTTAACTCAGAATACTTCCGCTGATAATTTGAATCCTTGCGCGTTCTACTAAAATTTACATACTCTGGCATTGGCAATTCCAGGGGAAAGTAAGGCTTGACAGGAAAGATAGTTTAAACTTAAAATAAATGTTAGTTAAAATAAATATAAACCCTACAGACTGATAACTGAGATTTTATCGCATTGCAGGCATGAATACATTACTAATTTAAAGTATAATTTACAGTTACATCTATTTTATCTTACATAGATAACAAGGAAGATTGTGGAAGAAAATCATTTTTAAGAATTTTTATATATTATGCAGTGCTGATATCGATTATGAAA